GCCTTAGCCGGTTGAGCTATAGGCGCCGAGCCAGTCCCCTTGGTTTTTTCAAACTTCTCCCTAGAAATAATATAAAGAGAGAAGAAAGAACAAATTTCTTCAGAAGTCTATGACTACACCCTAAAGATTCAAAGGCAAATTTTCTTAAATATTTGAGAAGTCATGTATTTTTTTTTCCTTAACTTATGAGAAGTTTGCATTCTATTCCAGGACAGACCTGAGAGTTGTTTTAACCTAGAATACCAACCACCCTTCCTCCCAAGTTAATTATTACTAGGAGATAGGCCTAGTGATGAGTTCAGGAGAGGAGCACAGAGAGATGATGCATTATATGTGTAAGTCAGCAGATGAAGGAGAAGTACCTTATGCTCTAGTTATGCAGAACTATGGCTAAAACTAGCGGAAGAAAAAGATTCCCTAAAGGAAGAAGCAAAATTTCGATGGAATATAATAATAAGAGATTTTTTTGAAAACTATTTAAAATTTATTTTCATTTAAAAACACTTTCTTTTCTCTAACCTGCTTCAGAGAAATTTAAAGCAAATCCCAGAATTCACAAAATACTGTTCTTAAAATATGAACTGAGCTCTAGAGAAAAAGGGTAATAATGTATTAGGACAATAAAAAGATCAAGGAATTTCATCATTACTGACATGTAAAGAGAAACTACATTTACACATGTATGAAAGAGAAACACAGATACTTGTCCTATATTGGAAGATTATCTGAAATATGAAACAGATTCTCTATGCACTTAATTTCTTTGCAATTTTCTAAAGACTTTTCACACTCTTTCCCTTTGTTTTTATAGACTTCAGCATACTGCTTCTGAGGCTCAGCATAGTGTGGTTCCAAAGACGCAAAATATTTCTGATTCACAGGAAGGCTTTAGACTGAAATTTCTATTTTTAAAAGTCATAGAAACATCTCTAGGCTCCCAAGCAACAATGCTAGAAAAACTTATTTTAATATGCTACTAACCCACAATACTAACTATGAAAAGGAAAAGACCAGTGAATTCAGAATTTTGATATGTTTTTTAAAAGTCAACTTATTGCCTTTTTAAAGTTCTTCATGCCTAAATAACCTATAAAAGAAATATTCTTAACTATATTCTAATTCAAGGGATGGCAAACTTTTTTAGTAACAGGTCAGAAGGTAAATATTTTAGGCTTTCCACACTGAGAGGCAAAATCAAACATAATAATATAATACACAGGTCTCTGTTGCAACTACTTAACTCTGCTGTTCTAATAAATTTTCAAGTTTTGAAATATTAATATTTTTATTTTTTGCCCAGCCATTTTACAAATGTAAAACTATCTTTAGCTTACCACTTGCCCTAAAACAGATGGCTGGCCAGAAATGGCCATGGGCCATAGTTGGCTTATTCTTATTCTAGTTTATGATGGACTTGAAAAGACAAGTTTGCTGATATTACTGAGAAATTAAATCCTACTTTCAAAGAAAAAGACACAGAAAAGTAAATAGAAACAGAGATACTAAACAGTATACATAATAGTCTAGTATATGGAGAAAAAGTGTTTGTACATATAACTGTGCATATATATAATTTTTATATATGTGTGTGTGTGTATATATATATGTATTCAAATTTATCTACTTACCTGTATGTCATAACAAAAGGAATCATATCAAAATGTTAGAGGATAATTTTTACTTTTTCTTTTATAAACGTTTATGTTGCCTAAAGCTTCTACAATAAACATGTAATACTTTCATAATTAGAAGAAAAAAAAAACAAAAAAATCCTGAATTTTAACCTGAGTTTTTGTGACTTAAAGTGTAGTCATTCATCACTGGGTATATATTCATCAATGGGTATACATTCTTTTTTTTTTTCTTTTTGAGACAGAGTCTCAAGCTGTCGCCCTGGGTGGAGTGCTGTAGTGTCATAGCTCACAACAACCTCAAACTCGGGCTCAAGCAATCCTTTTCACTCAGTTTTTCTATTTCAGTAGAGACGGGGTCTGGATTTTGCTCTGGCTGGTCTTGAACTCGTGAGATCAAGCAGTCCACCTGCCTTGGCCTTCCAGAGTGCTAGGATTACAGGTGTGAGCCGCCAAGTGTGGCCAACAATAGGTATACCTTCTGAGAAATGTGCTGTCAGATGATTTTGTCATTGTGTGAATATCGTAAGAGTGTGCTACACAAACCTAGATGGCATAGCCTATTACATACCTAGGCTGTACTGTATGTATGGCCTCTGGCTCCTAGGCCACAAACTTGTGCAACATGTGACTATATTGAATACTGTCGGTAATTGTGACAGTGTGAAGCATTTGTGTATCTAAACATAGAAAAGATACAGTAAAAAGACAATATAAAAGATTAAAAATGGGCTTGGTGCCCATAACTCAGTGGTTACAGTGCCAACCACATATACACCGGCTGGTAGATTCAAACCCGGCCTGGGCCAGCTAAACAACAATGACAACTGCAACAATAACAAAAAAATAGCTGGGCGTTGTGATGGGCACCAGTAGTCTCAGCTACTTGGGAGCCTGAGGCAAGAGAATTGCTTAAGCCCAAGAGTATGAGGTTGCTGTGAGCTGTGATGCCACAACACTCTAACACTCTACCAAGGGCAAAGTAGCGAGACTCTGTCTAAAAAAAAAAAAAAAAAGATTAAAAATGGCATTGCTGTATAGGGCAACTAACCTCAAATGGACCCTATAGGACCAGAAGCTGCTTTGGGTGAGTGAGGGGTGAGTGAATGTGAAGGCTAGCACACTACTCTTGTATACTTTATAATACTGTACACTTAGGTGACACTAAATTTATAAAAAAAATTTTTTTTCTTCAATAATAAATTAACCTGCTCTCGCCTCCTTCTGCCTTCCTTCTCTCTCTCTCCTGTCTTCCCCCTCACTCTGCTCTCTCTCTCTTCTCTTCCCCACTCTCTCCTTATCTCTCTCCCCTCTTTTCTCTCCTCCTCAGTGCTGCTCTGCAGCCTTCCTCCCCCCACCAATAAAAAACTTTCGTACAAAAAAGAAATTAATTAGCTTTAGCTTACTGTAACCTTTTGACTTTTTTGTAGTATTACTTAGCTTAAAACACAAACTCATTTGACTGTACAAAAATATTTTCTTTCGTTATATCCTGTAATGGTCTTCTACCTCCACATCTTGTCCCATTAGAAGGTCTTTAGGGACAATAACACCCACAGAACTATCATCCCCTATGATAACAACGCTATCATCTGGAATACCTCCTGAAGGACCTGCCTGAGGCACAGTTAAACTCCTTAGTAAGCAGAAGGAGTGCATTCTAAAATAGCAGTAAGAAATAAATACATAAATCAGTAACATATTTATTAGTATCAAGTATGTACTATATATCACTATATATGCTATATTTTTATGTAACTGTAGGCACTGTAGGTTTGTTTATACCAGCATCACCACAAACACCTGAGTAAGGCTATGACCTTACAATAGCTAAGATATCACTGAAATGATAGGAATTTTTCAGCTCTATTATAACCTTAGGGGACCATCATCATGCACTGGGTCCATTGCTAACTGAAATGTTGTTACATGGCATGTAACTGTACTGATCTTCACACATACCTTTGAGAGTTCGCAACTGGTTCTGCTTAAGTACAGAGCTTAAATAGTGAGGTGATAAAGAACCACTGAAAAATAAAGAAAAAAGACAAATAGACTTATAAACATTATGTCTGTTTTTTATACAACTTAGGCACAAATACAGATAATTTGTATCATTAAAAAAAAAAACAAATTATTTTTACCTTATTTTCTTTGCTAACACTACTCAGTTGACAAAACAGAAAGAGCAAGAGCCAAGACTAAACCATGGCTATTTGGATGTTCTTGAACAAAACAAATAATTCCTTAGTTTCTTCATCTATAAGTTAGGAATAATGAAATCTCCCACATAGGGTTACTGTGATAATTAAATAAGAATAATGCATCTGGGCAGTGCTTCTGGCTCAAGGAACTGCCCTATATATCAGAGGTGGTGGGTTCAACCTGGCCCCTCCCCAAAAATAATAAATAAAGGAATAATGCATTTAATAATGTGTACACACAGAAGCAGAGTGTGGAGTAATAGATAATGGAGACTCAGAGGGCTGGGGGCCTTGGGGGGGGTTGGCTCATGGGAAGGTATTTCATGGGTACAATGTGCATTGCTTTAGTATATTCAGCTGAAGGCCCGAACTTCATCACGATGCAACATAATACAGCAAAACTGAATGTGTACTCCATGAATATACACAAATAAAAAACAATGGGTAAAAAATAAGAATGCATTTAAAATTCCTGGAACAATAGATAATACATAATAGTTACTATTTGCTTTTGTACTAGATGCTTATGTTTGATATAATATTAATATAGGTATTACCACAAAAATGAAAGCATTAATCAAAACAAATTTTTTTTTTTTTTTTTTTTTTTTTTTTGAGACAGAGCCTCAAGCTGTCCCCCTGGGTAGAATGCCGTGGCATTACAGCTCACAGCAACCTCCAACTCCTGGGCTCAAGCGAGTCTCTTGCCTCCGCCTCCCAAGTAGCTGGGACCACAGGCGCCCGCCACAACGCCTGGCTATTTTTTGATTGCAGCCGTCATTATTGTTTGGCGGGTCTGGGCTGGGGATTCGAACCTGCCACCTTAGGTGTACGTGGCTGGCGCCTTAGCCGGTTGAGCTATAGGCGCCGAGCCTAATCAAAACAAATATTTAAGGGAGACTGTATGGTAATGATACCAAACATATAAGTTCCCAACTTTATTAATAAATATTAATATAGGCAGAGCCCATAGCTCAGTGGGTAGGGCGCCAGCCACATACACTGAGGTTGGTGGGTTCGAATCCAGCCTGGGCCAGCTTAACAACAATGACAACTGCAACAAAAAATAGCTGGGCATGTGGTAGGTGCCTGTAGTCCCAGCTATTTGGGAGGCAGAGGCGAGAGAATCACTTAAGCCCAAGAGTTTGAGGTTGTTGTGAGCTGTGACACCACAGTACTCTACCCAGGGCGACAACATGAGATTCTGCCTCAAAAAAAAAAAAATACATAAATATTAATATAAAATGAAACCTTTTACATTTCTGGCAAGATATAATAGTTTTTAAATATTTTTTAAATTCCAGAAACTAAAACATTTTGGGGAAGAATTCTGTTTTTTCTAATTTGTAATAGCAAAAAAAGTATTTCTATTCAGTTTTATATATACTGTTTCAATCTCTTTCTCAGACGTACATAATGCAATATGAAGGGACTACAAAAAGCATACGAGATGGACTGTTGTTTTAAAATCAAAGATTATAACTTTAATGGTATCACTTTTTTTTTTTTTTGAGAGATAGTCTCACTATGTCACCCTAGAGTAATATGGTGTCACAGCTCACGGTAACGGTAACCTCGAACTCTTGGGCTTAAGCAATTCTCTTGCCTCAGCTTCCCAAGTAGCTGGGACTACAGGCACCCACCACAACGCCTGCCCTTCTATTTTTTGTTACAGTTGCTATTGTTGTATTTTTTGTTACAGTTGCCATTGTTGTTTAGTTGGCCCAGGCTAGGATTGAACTGCTGGTCTCACTGTATGTGGCTGGTGCTATAACCACTGTGCTACAGGTGCTGAGCCTATCTTTTTCTTTTTTAACTGCAAGATCACCTTTGTTTAACAAACTTTCAGGGCGGTGCCTGTGGCTCAAGTGAGTAGGGCGCTGACCTCATATACAAGGGTAGTGAGTTCAAACCCAACGCCAGTCAAATTGCAACAAAAAACAGCCAGGTGTTGTGGTGGGCGCCTATAGTCCCAGCTACTCCGGAGGCTGAGACAAGAGAATTGCTTAAACCCAAGAGCTGGAGGTTGCTGTGAGCTGTGATGCCATGGCACTCTACCAAGGGTGACAAAGAGACTCTCTCTAAAAAACAACAACAACAAAAAAGAACGTCTAAACTTTCAATAAGGCTTAAAGCATAGTTCCTCACATGTATTATTATATAACTAGAACATCTCAGAAGTACCAACATTAACAAATGAAGAAAATATCATCTCCCAAATGAAGATATAAAAATAATTTATTTTCCAGGTTTCATTTCATAAGGACAAATCACTCAGTACTCTTTTTACACTGATCCACCTAATCTATGAATATAACACACTAATCCACCTAATCTATGAATATAGCTCTTTTTACACTGATCCACCTAAATCTATGAATTAAAATCTCAATGAGTGTGACATTTCAACTTCAGCCTTACTAGTTTTTTTACTGCATTTCAGTTTAAACCACTCCTCTACAAGTTATCTATAATACTTTAAGAATTCAAGATAACCATTTTATGAAACATTGATAATTATTGCAGCTGGGAATTCCTTATAACTGCTTCTCTACTCTTTGGTACACATTTAAAATTTTCCATTAATTATTTTATTAAAAACCTTTTACATTTTTGAAGCATCAAGTTATCTATTATAAACTACTCTTTAAAATAGCTCTCATTTCAACTCAATTGAATGTATATAATAATTTTTATTTATTTATTTTTTTTGTAGAGACAGAGTTTCACTTTATTGCCCTTGGTAGAGTGCTGTGGCATCACATAGCTCATAGCAACCTCCAACTCCTGGGCTTAGGTGATTCTCTTGCCTCAGCCTCCCGAGTAGCTGGGACTATAGGTGCCTACCACAACACCCATCTGGCTATTTTTTCTGTTGTTGTTACAGTTCAGCCGGGGCAGGGTTTGAACCCGCCACCCTCCGTATATGGGGCCAGCGCCCTACTTGCTGAGCCACAGGCGCCACCCTATAATAAAATTTTTGAAGATTCTGAAGGCTTCTTTGAGGAAAACGAAATAATCAGATTTAAGGAAGTCATATAACCTTCAGATTTAATCTAAAATGAGAAAGCTAACAGATTACCACAGGAACTGCCATGTGAGCTGCATTTAACGCATGCTAGTTTTGAGCACAGGGCCTTGTGAAGCACATATAACTCATATATCTTTTACTTGACCTACTAAAATACCATGGCTCCAAGGAAAAAAAAATTTCTTTCTACTGTGGTAGTCATTAAAATAGGAGTCACTGGATTGAAAACAAAAGCCAAGGAAAGTTACAAGGAAAAGTATTACGATTACATTTAGCAAAAAACAAACAAACAAACTTCAAAGCATTTTTATATTTGCCAAACATTTCAAAATTTTAGGCTTAGGCTCAGTGCCTGTAGAACAGTGGTTACAGTGCTGGCCACGTGCACCAAGCTAGGAGGTTTGAACCCAGCCTAGCCAGGTAAACAAAAATGACAACTGCGCAAAAAAATAGCCCGGTGTTGTGGCAGGTGCCTGTATTCCCAGCTACTTTGGAGGTGGAGGCAAGAGAATTGCTTAAGCCCAAGAGTTTGAGGCTGCTCTGAGCTGTGACGCCACAGCACTCTACCGAGGGTAACATACTAACACTCTGTCTCAAAAAATAATAAAACAATTTAGGCTTAAACTAATTTTAGATACTTAACCTTTAAATTTCTTCCTTTCACACAATGAAATCTTATAAAGCACCACTGACAGTAAGACAGAGATGTTCACCTTTGTGGAGATGCAGGAGGGGTGTGGGACTTCGATGCTGAGGGGAAAGGTTGCTTCTTCAGTGCCTGCATAAGATTAGGTTTATATTCTGGATCAACACACCATAAGGAACCTTTTCCATTAACCTAGAATAAAATACATAAGAATGAAATTACCTGAAACCTATATACATACACAGTATCTGAACCCTTTTAATAAAGTTGTGAGGGGAAAAATCTTCTAGTACCTTTTAAAGCATATACAAATGTTCATGGGAGCTGGCTACTTGTATTATAGTAATTAAAAGTCACATGTGCTGCAAAAATGCTAATTGTCCCTAATCATCAGAGAAATGCAAATCAAAACCACCTTCAGATATCACCTAACCCCAGTAAGAATAACCCATACCACAAAGTTCCAAAGCTGCAGATGCTGGTGTGATTGTGGAGAGAAGGGAACACTTTTACACTGTTGGGTGGGATTGCAAACCAATATAGCCTCTTTGGAAAGAAGTATGGAGAATCCTCAAAAAGTTAAACGTAGACTTCCCATAATCCCATTACTAGGTATCTACCCAGGAGAAAAAAATTAATTTTACCATAAGGACATTTATCCTAGAATGTTTATGACAGATCAATTTACAATTGCCAAGATGTGGAATCAACTTAAGTGTCAATCAAACCATGAATGGATTCATAAAATATGTTATATGTATAACACACAATACTGTGCAGCCATTAAAAAGATGGGAGACTTTACATCTTTTGTATTACCCTGGATGGAGGTGAAGAACATTCTCTTCAGTAAAGATAACAAGAATGGAAAAACAATTATCCAATGTACTCAATACTAATATGAAACCAGTAGATGAATATACATGCCCACCCAAGAGAAAAATACAATTAAATTCAAGTGGGGCAGAAGGGTAAGAGGGGGAGATTGATGTGCTCTCACCTAATGGGCACAATGTTGGGGGTATACGGCACACCTCCTGGATGAAGGGCTCAACTATAACTTGGACTTTACCTAACAAACACAAACAATGTAACCTAATTATTTATACCCTCATATTAATAGGAAAAAAGGCTGCCACGTGATATACAAAATTTCCTCTAACAAGATTAGCACGGTTCAAACTGTTAACTAATTTCTGGTTTTATATAATGCCATTTCTGTTCTAAAAATCCTATCTTTTGAGTTACGCTTTACAACTACATTAGCAATTATTTAGACAATAACATTTTCTTTTTTCCTGTTCCCTTACTCCTTTTCGTTGGTATGAAATTCTATTATAAAAGTTTAGTGTGCTGATCTCCAGAGTCCTTCCATTTCCTAAGCTCTTTCTCTATTACTGAGGCTCTTTTATCTCTGAGTACTGTATCACAATTTTTATAGTAGAATGGCATAATGAAAGAACCCTTCTGTTCCATGGGTTCAAAAACAGAAATCCTAATCAATATTTATTGATTGGCTATGTGATACACTGGATGAATAATTTAATCTTTGAGAGTCAGTCCTCTCATTCACATTTTACCCACAAAATAAAACTCCATTCCAGGCTACTTTACTGAGTTGTAATGAGATTCAAATAAGGTAATTTATATGCGAGTGACAGAGCTGCAAAATAAGTGAATACTGAGAGGTTATTCTAAAACTGGAATATAGTAAAAGGTTTTACTACATGTCGGTTAAGGAACAGCATATTCCTATCCCTTTACTTCCTAGAATGTTTTAAAAAAAAATCAACAAGAACAAAAATCAATTAGTTCTGAATAAAAGATAAAAGCTAGGTAGTAAAGAACAACGAATAAAATAAATTTAGAAGATTAAAAAAAACCTCAGGTATAGCAATTGAGTATAAAGCAGATTAATTCCTAACAAGTTAAATATATAGGGGAAAAAAACATGGGTGTCATATTACACTGCCATGTAGAGAAAAATGCACCAGGTTATCAAGTGAAACATTCTGCTGGAGTTCAACAGCAAGATATCACATAATCGACACTAAACAAGTATTTGACATTTTGATTTTTTTTTTCAAAAAAGATTAAGTCTTACAAATGTTTTTTTGGACACGGAGATAGATGTTTAGTCACCTGGCCCAAATGATAAACGTCTTTTGAAGACAGGGAAATAAAACTTTAAAATGTTGATTTGCCCCCAAGCTAATTCAGTTTTATAAGGAAAAGATACACATGAATTATTTTTCATAAAATGAGATAATTATTTTAACAATTCTTGCCATAGTCTACTTTGGTATTCCTGAGATTATGCTCCTATAAAGTATTTAGTTCAAGTCTACTTTTCAAATTCTACTGTGAGAGGACTGCAAATTGTTTTGTTCACAGCAGAACTTCTATTTCCTTGAAATAGAAAATTAAAAGAACTAGTATGGAAAACTTGCAGTTTCAGGGCAGTTAAGTATCTTGAGTATGGTCTCAAATAACAGTCTGGTTTAGGTTACCATGGCAGCATTTCCTTCCACTGAGTCTATTCAGGAACTATCATGAACAAGAGATAAAATTACGTTATTTGCTAATCTATGCTTTAGAGTTTACAGCAAAAAGGAACTTATTTTTAATTCTCACTTAAGAAATTAAAAACTCTGTCTCTACACTATTGTGCTTAGATGACCAAACACAAATAATAGTTTGAGTATTTAAGTACTGTATTTAACTAAATTTGCTTGTAACAAAATAAATCTTTTGTGTAATGGAAACAGGAAATGTGTATTCTCTCATTTACCATTTTGCATTTTGGAACTCTAAGGCTTCTAGACTTATTTGGTAGAAAACTACTGAAGATTCTAAAGAAATAAGGAATATATTAAGAGATGAACTGCAAAGAGAGTTATCTTAATGTAAGTTGTAAAGGCTAGACTGGAAGAAACAATGTTCATTATTCCTGAAATGCTTTAAGTCTTTGCTCTATAAGAGTTGTCTACCCGGTCTACCTACCTTTTCAATTTAAAAGAGTTAACTGATGACAACTGTCATAAACTAGGCAATGTTTTAATTCCCTGTTTCTCAGCTAAAATCTCATTTATAATGTTTTAGCTGAGCTTTATAAAAATTTAGAAAACTGGATGTTAAGACTTACATGTTAACACTGAAAACATAAAGCCAGAACCAAACCAAACTGAACCAAAACTCCACCACATCTAACGTTTATAATTTTAAAATCCTAAGACAAATAGACAGATTTTTAAACCTGTCTTTTGAGAGAAGTAAAAATGGTATGGATGATAGGGAGAAGAAAATCTAACCAGCAGCTACATCAATTGGTGGGGTATCATTACCACTTTACAGCTTGATCTGGACTTTGCCATTGCATTTTCTTTTGGGGGTTATCATCTCTGGATTACAGCTATTCACGAGAAAAACGTTATCAAAGTTGCCAAATTCAATTCCAACATTTAATGTAAAAATAACTTATTTTCCTTCCATAAAGTGGAAGAAAAATACTGTCATTTTATCATTGACTTAAGGGTATCAAAAATTAAAAAAAAAACCACATGTATGCAATGCAGTTCTAAATCTCAAACACTTAAGCAAAATGATCCATTGCTTTTTATACAGACCGTCACATAATTCCATCCCTCCCAACCTCACTTGTGATGATAGCTTGCTGATATTTGTCCCAATTTCTACAAATACCCTTGTATTTTTTTTATAAGATGGTTTCTCTCTTTTTATCAAATTCTAGACCAGTGGTTCTCAACCTGTGGGTCACAACCCACAGGAACTATATTAAAGGGCCGTGGCATTGGGAAGGTTGAGAACCACTGTTCTAGACTGTATCCTTTTGTACCCGTTAGCTCTTGTTCAGGTTAACTGTATAAATATGTACACATTTAAACATTATGAACAAGACTGAGTACCTTTTGAGTACTACCAAACTGTACCACAGGACATATTATTCTGAAACTTTTATTACAAAAAATACTACAGTGAATATTCTTTTTTTTTTTTTTTTTTTTTGAGACAAGGGTCTTTCTGTGTCCCTTTCTGTATTGTATTACTGTGTCACAGCTCACAGCAATCTCAAATGCTGGGGCTTAAGTGATTCTCTTGCCTTAGCCTCCCAAGTAGCTGAGACTACAGGTGCCTGCCACACCCAGCTATTTTTTGGTTGCAAAAGTTGTCATTGTTGTTTAGCAGGCCTGGGCCGGGCTTGAATATGCCAGCTTTGGTGTAAGTGGTCGGCGCCCCACTCATTGAGTTATGGCTGCTGAGCCACAGAGTGAATATTCTTAAACACATCTTCTTGTGTGCAAGTATGAATGTTACTGTTTAAGTATGAGAAATGATCTTGCTAGGTCAAAAGACATATACATTTCTAATTCTAACAACTATTTCCAGTGTGCCCTCAAGAATAGTTACACTAATTTACATTCCCACTAATGATCTGATGTAATACTATCAATATTTTCTCATGTCTTGCCTAATTTGACACCTATTTTTGTATTCTAATGGATTAAAAACCAGGTTTTCTTTTTAATGTACCTGATTACTAGTAAGATGAACATCTTTGCATCTTTATTGGCTACTTGTGCTTCCTCCTCTGTGACCTGCCTGTTCATATTCTTGCCTATTTTTCTATTAGGTTTTAATTTTCATATTGGACACATGAGTTTCTTATATACAGTGGTATGCTGCTGATTATAAACATCTCTGCTCAGCTCCACATTTAATGACAAGATGAGGGGATGGAAGAGAAAGCGGGAGAAAGGAGGAGGGGAAAGGAAGAGAAGGGAGGGGAAGAGAAGGAAATGAAGGGCAGGAAGGAAGGGAAGGAAAGCAAAGGAGAAAGAAAGTGGCCCCATTTGGGAAGGTACCTTGCACTGTAAGCCTCTACCTTCCTCTTACTCTGTAAAGCTGTCTTTCTCTTTCTCAATAAACCTTATCTCACTCTTAGGGACAAAAAAAGAAAAGAAAGGTGAACAAAAGGAAAGAAAGGAAAGAAAAAACAAAAAGAAGAAAGGAGAGAGGGAAGGAAGAGTTAGCTATAATAGTGGTTATAACACTTGCTTTATGTGCAAAATATGCTGTAGGGTTCTTTGTAGAGATCCTTTATCAGATAGATTTCTTTCTATCCCTAGGCTACTAATCTACTGTGAATGGATGTTGAATCTGAACACTGCCTT